AGGGCGGCCGCTCGCGGGTTGTGCAGTGCGACGACCCCGGCCGCAGTGCCTCCGGTAGAGGCCCCGAGACCCCCACGCCTCTGCCCGCCCTCCCGTAGGTACCGGAAGGAGTTACAGCACGTGACCCTAGAGGAGCTGGGGTGGAGGCCGGCGGCGAGGCCTCTGAGCGAGGCGGGGCTCCCCTGGGGGCGGAGCCTCCGCGGACCAACCTCGCGGGTGAGGCAGGCCTTTTTCCGCGGGCGGAGCCTACGCAGACAATCCTCGCGGAAGGGGCCGGGGCTCCTCGTGGGGGCGGAGCCTACCGGAAGGAGTTACAGCACGTGACCCTAGAGGAGCTGGGGTGGAGGCCGGCGGCGAGGCCTCTGAGCGAGGCGGGGCTCCCCTGGGGGCGGAGCCTCCGCGGACCAACCTCGCGGGTGAGGCAGGCCTTTTTCCGCGGGCGGAGCCTACGCAGACAATCCTCGCGGAAGGGGCCGGGGCTCCTCGTGGGGGCGGAGCCTCTGCCCGTTAACGTAGCGGAGTGGGCGGAGCCTCCCTGGCAAGGGCTACCGGCAACTCTTCCCTCGAACCCGACGGGTCTACAGTGGGATCGCATCCGGCCTCGTGTGCAGCTGCACACCCAGGAGCTGGTGGTGCAGTGTTTGGCCACCGCCTTCCTCCAGACTTGCGGGCTGCAGTTACCGAGCTGGGCACCTGGGTGCGGGCTCAGCCACAGCTTCGGCGTTGCTGGGCTGACCTGGGCTTGTATGCTGTGAAATGTGCCGATGGCAGGGTCCCTGCAGCTGAACTATCTGGGGCAAACTCTCAGGTACACTACGTGTTCCTGGGAACAGGAGTCAGTCCATCAGGGGCAGGGTCCCCAAGTGGTGTCTCCCCACTGTCCACAGCAGTTCTGGCGGCTGGTGTTCCCAGGGTGATGGCCGTTGTGTTGGGTGAAGCAGTGGCCACAGTGCCCAGCCTGCAGGCCATGCAGTACATCCTCAGATGCTACCTGCTGTGCCTCGGCAGGACACAGGCGCGGCCACAGCCTTGAGCCAAGGTGAGCCAGACTCCTTGTGCCCCCTGCAGCCAGCACTTCAGCTGTGGGCTCTTCGCCTTGTGGAACTGGGCCATGGGACAGGAGCTGTGCCCAAGCCTGCTGCCCAACCTTGGCCCCAGCCCAGCCACCCACGGGCACTGGGCAGCTGAGAAGCACAGGGCCCAGGCTGGGCACAAGTCTGCCCACCTGCTGTGTCATCTCTGCCTACAGTCTGTCAGGACGGGATGTTTGCCGACATGCACGGTTGGACTCGCACCTGGCCAGGAGGCGGTGCCCACGAGCACCCACACTGACACAGGCTTGAGTGGTGGGGACATGTTCCACCTCAGGCTGCTGCAGAGGTAGCAAGCCCAGAGCGTCACTGTCCCCTGGGAGGGCAGCAGACAGGCCTGCAGAGCTCCGGGACAGCTCCCTGGTGCCGTGTAAAATATTTATTCCTTCTCCAAAAAGGCTCAGACTGCAAATCTTGAGGGGAAAGGGATGGAGGGACAGGGTCTCCCCAGGGCCACGTCAAGGACCTGCACCCACCCAGCCCAGCCCAGCAGCCCTCCCCTGCCGGGAGGGGACAGGGCAAGAGTAAGGCGTGGCCTCTGTTCAGCAGACACAGGCCACCAGCCCTCAAGGGCACAAGCAGCCCAGAGGTGTCCATTCGGGAAGGCAGACGTGCCGGCCCTCTGGTGCCCAGGCCGGGCCCTGTGGCCCCAGGGCAGGGTCAGGGTGGCGGGGGGATGTGGGCGCCCAGCAGGTCGTAGGCGAAGACGTTCCAGAAGATGGCGAAGAGCAGGAAGGTGCCGTAGGCCAGCAGCACCACCCACCAGCCACACTGGTCACGCAGGCGCTCCTCGTAGCTGCGCAGCATGGTCAGGCCCATGCTCACCCCCACCACCGCGCCGGCCAGGTGCGCCATGAAGCTGGGCTGCGGGCCCGAGGCGGGCAGTGGCGGGGAGAAGCGCAGCCACACGGCCCGGCCCACCTCGGAGCTCACTGTGGAGGGGGGCAGCAGGTGGGAGGCGCCCTGGCTCGGGGTGAGCCCCCCGCCCTCACCCGGCCCCTACTCACTGCACACCAGGGCCAGCACCATCCTCAGCAGCTTGTAGGGACACCTCATCCCAGCCCAGTTCTGGTGGGAGTGTGCAGACAGACAGGCTTGTGAGGCGCGCCACGGGGCCCTCCCCACACCCACCGGGCGGCCCGTTACCATGACGACGTTGGCCAGATGTGCAGAACACAGGGCATAGACCCCGCCGGAGCCCCCCACCACTGGGGCCCGCATGTCCGTGATGGAGACAGTCAGAGAGCCTGCAGAGGAAGGGGGGAGTGAGGGCCAGCGGGCCAGCTGGAGGCGAGGCGCACGGGCACGCGCCAGCTCACCTGCCAACACGCCCGCCAGGTAGAGCAGGCTGATGCGGAGTAGGCCGTGCACCATCTCCAGGGGCACCCCGATCATCAGCTGCAGGAGGGCGTTGAACCCCAGCTGCTCCAGCCTGGCCACATGGGGGCAGATGGACGCCAGGGTAGGAGCCAGCCCTTGGGCCAGCCTACCCCTCCTGGCCGTGCCCACCCCATGAGGCCCCGCCCACTTACCCGACATGCATGAACATGTAGGTGAGGAAGCGCCAGGCCCGTGCGCGGTGCCCTGGGTGGTACACCAGGGGGCTCTTCATGTACTCGGGGTGGTAGGTCTGCAGCACCCACTTGTTAAGGCGGGCCCCATAGCACAGGAACACGACAATCTGGGGACACAGGTGTTAAGGGTGGTCCAGACCGGGGACATGGGAGGCTCCCGGGGCAGCGGGTGGGTGGCCCACCTGGGCAAGGGTGACCGAGGCCATGAACACAGGGGGCGGGCAGCTGCGGTGCCGGGAGAAGTACCAGCGGCGGTCCACCTCGCAGGGCAAGATCTCGTAGGCCACGTAGCGCACAAACCGCTTATAGACTCCCAGGCCAGGTCCGTCCAGTGGCCCGTCCCGGGGCAGTGCCCGCTGTCCGTTAGCGATGGCCCGCTTGAAGCTGCTAGAGCGCTGGCTGCTGATCTAGGGGTGGGGCCTGTGCGTGGGCCAGGGTCCCCTCGGGGCACCCTGTCCCTGCCCAAGCCCCGGCCCCCCAGCCTGCCCCCGCCCTCCCACCGTAGCACACTGACCAGGCCCACCAGCTCCTGGTAGCAGACCTGACCCCGCTCGTTGCTCTGGGCCAGGGCCACCAGCATGTCCAGCTTGGCCGGGTCCAGAGGCAGCTCATGGCTGTGCACCAAGCCGGTGAAGGTGTCTGCCCCAACGAAGCCTGTGTTCCCAGGGTCCAGCTGCTGGGGAAGCCGGGGCCTGAGGGCTGGGCGGGCAGGCTCAGTCCCTTCCCGGCCCTCCAGGGCTCTCCCCCTTTCCCACCCTACCACCCCGGAAAGGGAGGGCCGATGTCTGACAACCACCTCCCCACTCGCTCCCCCAGGAGCCCCAGGCAGCCACACCTCTCTGAGGGCCCAGCGCAGAGAACTGAACCGGAGGTCAGCTCTGCAGGGGCGTTCGGAGCTTGGGCGGCCCCTCAAGCCCAGCCGGGCAGCCTCCGCCGCGATGCTGGCTTCCCCGATCC